AGTGTCTCTTTCTCTACGAGGTATATTGAATTCATTGCATTGGGGTGTGCTGAACTTTATTGACCTCTTCCGTCAATTTTCGGAACTGAAATTATCACTTTTGCAACCAGATGCATGTATTTCATGCAACATTTAATCACAGTCCCACTTTGTCTAAATCCGTAGATTGACATGCTGACATGTCTACGCCAGACAGGGCTATATAACTTTTACAGTATCTCGTTCATCATTTTCATTTAGATATTTTTCTCCAGGGAGTTGTGCATTGCATGGTGCCTGTGTCCGTGTAGTCATTAACTTCTTACCATAGATAAGAAGGGATTTAGCTTAAGATTGCTTTATTTTCTTTCATTCAGTATAAACATTGGGTGACACCCGGGAACTAAAATCTACTTAAAGGAAATAGACACAGATTACAACAAAAAACCCAGAGAAAATAAGTAAGATGAGTAACCAGTCACTCCATAAAGTAGAAATGGAAGGTCTTCTCAGTGATGAAGATTTTGCCATCTTTCAGCACGTGAACGCATACGCTGGAATCACTTTCTCTGTCCTAGGTATAGGTTCCAACTTTCTAAACATCAAAACGTTTGTTGCTATGGGACTGGACGATGCTGTCACAGTTTCGTTCCTCGGCCTGTCCATCTCGGATTTCTTTATATCCATCATCATGTTCTGCATCGGCATCTCGATGAGCTTCCATGCCATAGAGTTGTCCCTGGGAATACGCTACACCTACGACCCATTTATGATCGTCCTGTTTTTTACAAACGTCGGAATAGCCCTGTACATTGTCACTGTACTGACCACTCTTTACCTCGCCGTGGCGAGATGTATGTGTGTGGCGAAGCCGTTGCACTTCAAACATGTCTTTACCAAGTCTAGATCCATAGCCATCCTCACTGTCTTTTTCGTGTTCTGTGTTGGAATCTACATACCAGTCTTTAACAGTCTTGGCATTGCCAAGACGTTTAATCCAGTACTCAACGGTACGCGTTACACCATTTGGTTTCGTCAGGGAGACGAAGAAGCCAAAGACGTCATATACTTCATCACCCACGTCGTCATCCCTTTTGGCACTCAGATTATCGTCATTGTATGCATCGTTGTCATGGCCTGGAATCTTATTCAATCCTCCCGGTTCAGACAACAGACATCTAAAAGCCAAGCCGACGGAAAGGAGGCGGAAGACGCCAATAGCAGCAGCGTCAAACTGTCGGGTAAAGAACTACAGGCTGTACAACAAGTCGTTCTTATCTCCATTATCTTTGCCGTGTTCAACATGCCCATGATCCTTATAGGAGTCTTCGGTATTACAGAGCCAGAGTTTGATGCAGTCTGGGGCAAGCACAGGTACGCGCGAATGTACTATGCTGGACATTTCATGCGACGCGTGTGCGAGCAAATCAATAGTGCTGTCAACATTTTCATCTACTACAGTTACAATACAAAATTTAGAAAGTTTTGTAAGTTCTGTTGATAAAATATGAACACAGGCAGACACGATTTTCAAAATACGTCTGTATTGTGTGTTTATGCAACTTGGTAATCAATTCCGATTTGCACCCTTAGCGGAACTACAAAACCTTGAAGGTAAATAAATTTGATAGTTGTTTTACACCTTTGTCTGCATTGGTATCATACGGTGACTTTGAACATGACGTTTTGGCTCTGGAGGCATACAGATAAATTGAGAATTGTTTGTTTCTGTTTCGGCTAAATGTTGTCATCCTCTTCCTCGTCGTCGTCGTCGTCGTCGTCGTCGTCGTCGTCGTCGTTGTTGTTGTTGTTGTTGTTGTTGTTGTTGTTGTTGTTTCTATTGCTTTGTGTTGTATTGTTATTTTTCTTTCTATATTAATTATACGTTTTCTTTGGAGACAGTAATTCATGGAGTAAAACACTTGACTATGAGTAGTGTGGTTTCGAGTTTTAACAGTACCCCCTTTCGCAAAACGCTGCAACATTGCCACATCTTCACTACGTCATTGGTTTGCCCTAAGAAGAGAATTTATGGCTCATTTCCATAGCATGAAGATGTCGTGATTATATCACTTGTAGATTTGTAAGCTCTGCTCAAATTCCAGATACCCTTCTGGCTTTTGTACATGCATCTTGCTCTACCTGAACTTAGAAAAATACAAGGAGCTATGAAAACATACGCATACGAGAAAGCAAAAGAAGAAGAAGAAGAAGAAGAGAGAGAGAGAGA